TTAGGAAGGTTGAGAACCACTGCTTTATTGGCTTCCAACACCCTGTAAGTGTGTGTGTGTGTGTGGGGGGGGGTGTTGGTAAGTAAAGGAACCACCCCTGGTTCCTGTCTCTGACTACCTAACAGTTCCTCGTGAGCACAAGAAAGTGCTCTGGAATTCCCGTTGTTCGCCAGGCTATCGATAGTTTGTTATGATCCACACAGTCAATAATACATAAGCATCATTCTGGTCGTCTCTACTCTCAGCCGAGATCCATCTCATGTCAGCACTAATATCCCTCATTGCATGTTCTCTTCTGAATCTAGCCTGACCCTCCGGCAGCTCCCCGTCAATGTACTGACGCAACCATCTTCTGAATTACCCTCAGCAAAATATTATTTGCATGAGATAGTGTTTGATAATGTCTGCATTCTATTGTTCATCTTTCTTTGGCACGGGCACAAATAAGAATCTCATACAGTCAGATGGCCAGGTAACTGTCTTTCCACACAGTTCACTATTTCGTCCATAGAATCTCTCAATGAGGCAATTCAAGGCTTGACTTTTTTTCTTTTGGTTTCTTTGAGCTTGAAATATGCTGAACTTGTTCATCCCTGTTGGTGTTCTAACTCCATGTCTCTGCACACTTCCTTATGATGCTTTATTTTGTCGTCTTAAGCAGCCCTTTGAAATTTCCTTCTCAGCTCTTTTGTATCGTCAGTTCTTCCATTCATGTTAGCTCTTCTACACCAAGAGCAATTTTTATAGTCTTTCTGACCTCCATTTGGTCTTTCCTCTCTATGGAATGGCATTTTCTCCACATGTGATATTCTTGATATCATTCCACAATGATATCAATAATGCCTTCCGTCATCAGCGTTCAGTGCATCACAGCTGCTCTCCAAACCCAGTGAGATAGCCTTAAGGTCCGAGTTGGCTCTCATCGTCCCGTTCTCATTTCCTCAGCTTCACCTTGAACTTGCATCTGAGCAATGGATGGTGTGTCCCACGGTTGGCCCCTGGCCTTGTTTGATTAGTGATTTTGAAGTTCCCCATCATCTCTTCCCACAGATGTAGTCCATTTGAATCGTGTGTATTCCATCTGGTGAGGGTCATGTACATAACCAGTGTTTATTTTGTTACAGTGAAGAAGTCTTACAGAATTCTATCATGGGAGCGCAAGCTTCATTCTTACCACCAAGGCCACAGTTTCCAACTATCAACCCTTCATCTTTGTTTCCAACTCCGCTTTCCAGGCACGCGTGATTATCAATGTGTCTTGATTGCGTGTTGGATGAATTTCAGCCTGAAGAAATTGGTAGAATGCTTCAATTTCTTCATCATTTGTGTTAAAGGATGGTGTGAAAATTTGAATAGCAGTTGTAGTAACTGGTCTCCCTTGTAGATGTATACATAATAGCCTGTCACAGACAGCATTAAACGTCAAGATTGATATTTTTATCATTTGATTTGGAGCTCCTCAGATCTCATAACATTCCGTAGCTCAGTCACATCAAGCAGTGCTGTACAGTTGCCACCACAGTCAGTTTCAAAACATTTTCCTTCTTATTGAACTCTTGATATCAGCACTGCTTCATCCCCCGCTCCCCCATCATTCCCCCCAGGAACCTTTATTCCTTTTTTTTGCCCTATAATAATTTATTTTGTTTTCTACTTTTGCCACATCTTAAGACAATCAATCTATGCATTCACACACAATTCTGTTGTTCGAGCCCATCAAGTGGGGCTATACAGTCATCAATGCTATCAGCCCCACCCCCACCCCAGGCCCCTTCACTCCTCTCTCTTCCCACACCCTCATGGGTCCATTACTCCCGTTACTGTTTCCAATCTTAAATACACAAATGAACATACACAAATCTAATATGATTAATGAAGTATAACAAATAAGAAACCATAATAGTAACGGGAGGAATTATTAAAGAACTGAGGATAGTTATGTGGTTCATCAGTGCTACACCGCTCCCTGGATTTTTCATCCCTTCTGTATGGCCCTTCGAGAGGGACTGCCCAGTTATCTTACAGGTGGGTTTGGGGTCTCTACGACATCAACACCCCTTCACATCGACTTCGCTGCTTGTTTTTGAACTTCTGATATCTCTTCTCATCAACACCTCATGATCACACAGACTGATGTGCCGCTTCCATGCGGGCTTTGTTGCTTCCCTGCTAGATGGCTGCTTGCTTAACTACAAGCCTTGAATACTCAAGACGCCATTCTTTCAACAGCTGGGCACCATCAGCTGTCTTCACCACATTTGCTTATGCACCCATTGTCTTCAGCGATCGTCAGGGAGGTAGGTATCATAGAGTGCCACATGATTAAAACAAACCTTTCTTGTACTGAGAAGATTTAAGTAGAGGCCCAAAGTTCAAGATAGATCTTAAATGTTCTTTTGGAAGATAAATGTGACGTCATTCCTCTTCAATCTCTCATTCCTGTAAAGCTTTTCTGCCTAAGAGACTCTGTGGAGCCGTTCTATTCTGTCCTGGGTTGCAAGAATGGGAATTGACTCAGTGACAATGATGTGTGTGTGTGTGTGTGTGTGTGTGTGTAAGTGAGAGAGAGAGAGAGCAATGTGAGAAATTACACCGGACCCACCCGGATAATCCAGGATGAGATCAGCTGACGAGCAACTTGAATGCCATCTGTTCCCACAATTCCCCTTCCTTCTGTCCTATAACATAGTCACAGGTTGCGGAGGTTAGAACACGGGCATCATGAGAGGCCACTCATCTGCCTGTTGAGTCATTCCATGTAACTAAAATGATGCTAGAACACTGGGGTACCTGGGAGAGCGAGAACGCAGCAGGGGCAACTTGTTTTTCCAGGTCTCCAAGGTTTTCTGCCTTTGCCAGTACATCCAGAATGCTCCTTAGACAGGGGTGGCCTGGAAAGACTTCATCTTTTTCTACTTTGGGAGGGTTGTTAGGAGGACTTGACAAAGGAGAGGCCAGAGAAGAAGTGGCAGAGGCTCAGAGAGACGGGCGGACACAGTGGCTGCCACGGTGGGCAGGCGATCGGCTGGGAGCGACAGGGTACAGGCTTCCTGTCTCCTTTCTACGGCTGTTTTTAGTGGGAAAGGTTTGAGTTTTCCTTCGAGGACAGGTTTCCACCTCCCACAGGCTCACACTTCTGTAGTCTTTCCTGTGTGTTGAGAGGAGGGAGGAGAGGGGCAGGAAAGCAAGTCGTTTCCATACAGGAAGGAGATAGATGATGGCTGAAGTTGATCAGGAGCCATAAAAGGATATCCAGGTACCTGAAGCGAACCTCCAGGAGTCCTGGTTACACACTGGGCTGGGATACCCAAGATCAGCAGTTCAAAACCACCACCAGCCCGTGGGAGAAAAATAGAGCTTTCTACTCCCATAAAGAGATACAGTCTTAGAAACCCACAGAAGCAGTTCCACCCTGGCCTTTAGGGTCACTGTGTTAGTCCGGGTAGACTAGAGAAACAAAGTCACAAACACGCATTTGTGTATAAGAGGGAGTTTTACATAAAGGGTAATTGTACATTAAGAAAGCATCCCAACCCAGCCCAGTCCAAGCCCATGAGTCCCATATTAGCCCACATGTCTGATACCAATATAAAATCCTCTTCAGACTCACGAAACACATGCAGTGATGCCGAGTGCAGGAAGATCACAGGCCAGTGGGTATAAAGTCTTTGGATCCAGTGGCATTGTAAGCATCTCGGCGCTGGCAGGGGTCTCCACATGGCTCCTCCGGCTACAGAGGTCTGGTTGCATCAGGGTAGGTTCATGTGGGTTCTCCAGCTCAGGGCACTAGCATAGTTCCAAGTGTCTTGTCAGTAGAGCGTCTCCAAGGGAATGAACCGAGAGAAAAAAGGCTTCCGCCTCCAAGGAGAAAAAAGCAGATTTCCCAGAATCCTCAGAAGGTCGTGCCCACACAGAGGTCTCATTGGCTATGATCTGATTGACAGGCTAGACTGCACCCCTTCACTCGTAATCCTCAAATTGACAAATGAGTACATAACTCCCCCACTCGCTAAAAGTCGGAATAAACTCAATGGCAATGAGCAGCTAACTTCTAGAGGAAACCGCCCACCTGTTCCAAGCTGGTTTTCCAGGGGGGCGGGGAGGACGGGTCTACTAACCACAAAGTCAACAGTTTGAAGCCGCCAGCTGCTCTGTGGAGGAGAGAGGATGCTGGACAGTTGACCCTGGCCTATCGGGTTGCTATGAGTCAGAATTAACTCCAAGGCGGGAGGGGTTTTGTATTTTAACCAAATTTTTTTTTTCAAATTTTTGTTTTTTTTAAGAGAATGCGTGGAGTCAAATGCAAACACTACTCACAAATGTGTACTTGAATTTATTGTTCCTTCCCCCTCCACCACTTCTAAGGAGACAGCGCAGCTGCTAACTGAACGATGAGCAATTCTTACTCACCGGGCAGCGCCGAGGGCGAATCTGGCCGTCTGCTGCCGAAAGTTCTGTTAGGCTTTACAGTCCCTGAACACAGGCACCCTGGTGGGACCGCACACCCGCACACGGTAGCCCGAGGCCAGAGGGACCGTGGCACAGCCACGCGGAAGGTGAAGAAAAACGAGGGGGACAGGTGTTCTCACAGACCCAGTAATTTGGGGCCTTTGGCTGGGAGGCGTGGCCAAAGGTATTGGTTGACCCCCATTGGCTGAATTACGCCCACCTGGGCTTGGTTTGGGCCACCCAGATAGACTGCCCACCTGGCTTGGGCTTGACTTGGCGCATGCCCAGTAGTCTTTATGGCCGGCTGAAGCTCACCTGGCTCTCTCTCCGCAGCAACCTCCTATAGGGGTCCTCCAGTCGTGGAGAGGGACACGCCCTGCCCCTATCTTGCTACCTAACAATCCCAGCAGAGGAAAATGTCAGGGCAGTCCTACTGTGTCACGACGGGTCGTTAGGAGTCCAAACTCGGCACTCGGACCCCCCCACCCCACCCCCCCAACACACACACACACCTGCTACCTCTGCTCCTTGTTGCCGCCCCGCCCCCACAGGAAGAGACGTTCTTGAGCATCCTGATGAAGCACCGCGTGCGCAGTGGCGTCTCAGGCGTCGTGGGCATGGAGGTGGATGGGCTGCCTTTCCACGGCACCCACGCCGAGATGATCCAGAAGCTGATGGGCATCACCATGGCGCGCCCGTGACCGCCGCGCCAGTGTGTGTGGACTGCGTGCGACCTGGAGGCCATGCCTGGGCCTCGCTCGGGCGCCGTCCCCCAACGTCCCCAGCGTCCTGCCACCACAGCCTCACCCCAGAGCACTGGCCTGGGCCACAGTGGGCCCTTCCTGGTGGGAAGAAGCGCCGGTGCAGCCCTGGGCCTCCAGAAACATTTCTCGGGACTTTTAAGGCGTATCTTTGGGCTCTCATGTGCGGAAGGTGTGGTTGTCCACCCCGCCTTCCCGGGGCTTCCCCAGGCCACACGAGGTCTCATCTTAGGGTCTTCCTGCCCATCAGGTTGGGGGCGCCAGGCGGAGCCCAAGTGTAGACGTGGTCGCAGCCAAGGATGGTCCCCAGGCCGACTGGGCAAGCAAAGGGGTCCCGCAGCCTCACAGAGCCTGGGGCTTTGGCAGTGATGGAAAGAGCTATTCCTTGAGAAAGCTCTCTAGCTCAGAGTCTTTTAGGGGCTTGAATCTTACATGTCTCACCACCACCTTCTCCCGCCACAGCCCCCACCCTTCTTTAGCCCCGGCACCTTCTCCTGCACCCACCCCAGAGTCTGAGGCCTCTGCCCTCCGCCCACCCCCTCCCCATCTGCTCACCCCACCGAGGCTGGCTTCCTCCCCCCCAGGATGTGCCTGCATTTCAGTCTCTGGGCAGCCCAGCAGCATCACAGGAAATCTTTCTTGGCAACTCTAGCCAGCCTGGCTTTACCTCCCCACCAACAGAATCAGACACAGTCTCCGGTTGTCTCCTTACACTCCCCGCCCCACTGGCCGGACCCCCATCCTCCAGCATCCTGGGCCAGCTCAGCGCCCAGTCACAGCTGGCTCCTTCCCAGCCAGGGCCTCCTTCTATCTGATCTCCTTTACGCCGTGGAGCTTGATGGTTGCTTTTTCAATGTGAGCTATTTTGTGAACTAATGCTTCCGGGTGGTGAAGTCTGTGTGTGTCACATTAAAGTTGTCGCTTTAACCCATTTTATGTTCCCCGGTCTGCGTCACTGATCCCCGCCACAGTACCAGCTGTGAGGTTTCCATCGGCTGAGCTGCAGTAAGCAGGTTCCCCCCACCTTTCTTCCTGCCCTGCCCTAGTCTGGAAGTTCTGTGAGAAGCCCTATTGAGACCTCTCTGCCAGGGGTGATGCTGCTGGTATTTGAACATACCAACCACCCCCAAATTGCTGAGCCGGGCAAGGTGTCCCTGGGAGGCCATCTTCTGCCTCTCGTGACCCTCACCCTGCTGACGACATCCTCAACTAACTCTAGCCTGCTACATTCTGCTCCTCCCAGGATCCCGCCCATCGTGTGTGGCTCCCGTGTGCTCCACAGTGAACTGTGCCTCGCAGAGTCAAGAGCCAGCTGCGCCAGGCAGAGTGGCACCAGGTGGCTGAGCAGCTCAATACACGTGAAGGGCTTGCTGAAGAGTCGGGGCATCAATGAAAACACTCCAGGAGAGCAGAGCGCTTCCCCCCTCCTCTGTGGGGTCAGGGAGACATTGGGAGAGGTAGATTTGGGTCAGAAGGTGGGGCAGGAAGGTGAGAGCTTGCAGCCTGTCCAGTGGAGGGGGCGTGGAGAGCTGGCAGGTGCTCATGTACCACCTGTGCTTCCTCTTCCCGAGGAAGTCCCCCAGATCCCCTGGTGGCCTGGGGGCCACGTGACTGGGATCTGGCCCATGGGGTGTGAGTCATGGGAATAGCAGCCACTTCCAGACCTGGCCATCACCTCTCCCCCACGCCTCCCCAAGGGATTCTCGGGATGAGGTCGTCCCTTGAAATACTGATGGAAGAGAAGGAAGACCCCAAGGTAACTTCCATCCCTCGGGAAGGGACCGGCCAGACGGAGGAGTGTTTCACTGGCCTGCACGTCAACAACAGACCAGCCGTCCCTGTGTGAAGACCTTGTGGTTGGCGGGGCTCTTTGTTAGCACAGTAGAGCCCAGCCTTCCTAATAGGAGCTTGGGAGGTTTAGTCCCAAGAGACAGCCTAGAGAGTTATCTTCAAACCCCAGAACCCGAAAGCCCAAATGACTCCAGTGATGAATTCCGGGTTCCAGGACCCCCATCTGAGACACACCCTGACTCAGAAGGACCAAATCCTGGCTCTCTCTAGGCCGGACCCCCTGGAGGAGAGCAGCAGACAGGGATGTCATCTCGGCTGGAATGTTCTCCCACTCTGCTCTCGCTGGCCTAGCCACCCCCCGGCCAGTGTGTGGATAAACAGAGAGAGCTCTCCTCTTAGTAAGCAGCAGCAGTCAATAAGATAGGGGCCTAATGGCTTCTGCCATCTCCCGTCCAAGCCAGATGGGCCTTTTCCTCCGCCCACTCTCTCAGGAGCCAAAGGAATCTTCACCCCCCACCATGTCCTCATTCGTAGTCTGTTTGGAAGAAGGAGCCACCCTTCCAGAACACTCCAGGATTGTAGCAGCCAGGCCTAGAGAGAGGGATTAAGTGACTGAACTCAGACTTACATTGTAATATGACAGTTAATCCTTAGCAGTAAACACCGGGTCTGTTAGCATTGACATGCTCTTCCCGCCTCAAGGGGCTGTCAAACAGCGTGAGTCTCCCCAAGGCAGACTCGGTCACTGAGGAAAAGACAGTGGGGCTGCGGAGGGATAGCTGTCATGAGACGGTACTGTCTGATCAACCCCTTCTGTGTTAGGCAGGGATCTCCAGAGAAACAAAACCAGGAGACATTATAAGTATATATATGGATAAGTTTATATAGCAAGAAAGAATATAACAACTAATTAGTCCACACAGCAGTACAGAGGGCTCAGTTCAACTCACTTTCGTGAAACAGTTAATATACTGGAAGTCCTTCCACTCACATGGGCTGTGGGCTGCCAGGGCCAAGGTCAAGGAAGCAGACAGTAGAGTCTTCCCTCAGGCGAGGCAGGCAGAGTCTGCCCGCAGACAGCAAACAGCAGAGCGGATCAGCAACAGTCAGTAGCTTGGGAGCTTAGCAAAGTAGGCCCCCATGGGACCTTGAACTCAAGCGTGGTGACAGGATCCACCAGGCTCAAGCTCAAGCAATGCACACACCAGCAGCGTGGCGAAGCAGGTCTCGAAGGAGCCTCAAGCTCTAGGGACATGATCCATGGGTTGGCTTGGCCCACAGGTAGCACAGCACACAGGTTGAGGCAAAGAACTAGTTAAAACAGCAGCAGGATGGTCTGATTACCAAGAGGGAGATGGGATGTTGGCCATCTTTATTTATTTCAGTCATCTCCCAATCAACTGTGACCTGATTAAACTCCACCCACCTGTTCCTAGTGGCCGAGTTGGCACAATAAACCTGTCACACCTTCCTTCACTGTGGAGAGGCAGCCACCCAGGAGGTCAAAGGGGTCGTGTGCCAGGCACAAAGGAGGGACATTTGCCAAACACAAGGCTGGGCTGTGTCCTCGGGAGTGTTGTCGTTGTTAGGTGCTGAGCCGGTTCCGACCCATAGCAGCCCCATGAACAGCTGACCGAAGCACTGCCCGGTCCTGCCCCATCCTGACGACTGTTCCTATGTCTGAGCCCAGTGTCGCAGCCGCTGTGTCCGTCCATCTCGTTGAGAGCCTTCCTCTTTTTCACTGTCCCTCCGCCTTACCAAGCGTGAGGTGGTGACCAAGGTAAATGCTAGAACCTACCGAGGGGCTGGGAGGCATTCTGTGGGTCTCTCCACGAGAGAGCAGCCTCGAGTTCACTGCGGGACTTTCTCCTCCTTTGCCACTCGCTGGTGATAAGGGGCGGGGAAAGGCCTCGATGCTGTTTGGGTTTTCTATGGGAACGTCAATCCCTGGGCCTTCCTGACTCCCCTGGGTGTTTCAGGCCCCTCCAGATACCCGTGGTGGTGAAGGGCACCCTCCCCCAGTAAGGACTGCCAGGCACGCCAGCTATGGCCAGGTGATTGCTTTATTTGCAGACTGAAGTTTGCTGCATACATAAATCCATTACACAGTCCAACACACGCAGACTGGCGTAAAGGAAAAGACGGTACAAAAATTCAAGACTTGATCGTACATGGAGGTGTCCCCGGGTCATCCCCCTCCACCGCCATCGAGACAGGGCCAGGTGGTGATGATCAAAATGGGGGGCAGGGAATACTGTGGAAGGGAAGAGCCCTGTAGAACAGTGGCCATGAATTCTGCTGAGTTCAAATCCACCAGCCAGCCCACGGGAGAAAGATGAGGCAGTCTGCTTCCGTCAAGATGACAGCTTGGGAAACCCAATAGGGAGGTTCTACTCAGTCCTACAGGGTCGCTGAGTCAGAATGGACCCCATTGCAGTGGGACAGTGGCACAAGGAGGCCAGGAGCGCTCAAGCACTGCCTTCCACCAGTAGAAGCTGGACTCTCCATGACATGCGACCATTTCCAACCCGATCCTGGCCTCCACTGGAAAAGGGAAGGACACCCCCCCCCCCCCATTCAGGTCATCCGAGGATAAGGAGCTGGGGCAGGGGCTACCTACTCAAAGCCAAATGTAGCTCCCAGTCCCCCTAGACACCCTGATGGGAAGGAGAAGAGGCTAGTGGTTAAGAAGGAACATCTTGGAGGGTGGGGCAGGGAGGGGGTGGGGGATGGAGGAAGAGGGTCCTGCCTGGCCCAGCGTCAGATTTCATAAGTGTTATCCTGACTCCAGCAGCCCCTCCTTCCTCAGGCTGAAGCCCACCTAGCCTCCCGGCTCGGAGCCCCCAGACTCCCAGGCCTTGTAGGCCATGCCCCAGGAAGGCAGGGGAGGGCCTCCGGGAATCCGAAGGACCCTTGGTGTATTCCCAGACTGCTCCTGGCCTGGCACAGAAGCAAAGGCCTGGGACGGGAGCGGGCCACCCGGAGGAGACTGAAGGGTCCTCCTGGCCCTCTCCGGACTCCGGTGGCCTTGGAGAGGACAGCACTGAGAGCTGAAGCTCCTTTCTAAAACTGGGCGGGAGAGATCTCGGGTCGGGGCGCAGGACGCAGGACCCCTGTGGCAAGTCCAGTGCCCAGCCTTCCAGGACAAGACAGAGCACAGGATGTCAGTAGCCCGGGTGACAGGGCCCACAGACACGTCTCTCAGAAGGTGGGGGAGCGGAGCAGTGATGGAGAGCCCAGGGCTCCCTCTTCCCCTGGCACAGCCCCACGTAAACCACGGCGGCGCTGGTGCTGGCCCCAGCTCCGCCTCAGGGCAGGATGAGGCCAGAGGGTTTGGGTTTGTGTTGCGTGTCATGTGTGTTGTAGTTGGAGACGCAGGAGGACCCTCACCCTCCTCTCTGAGCCTGCCAGTACGTGCTGGGGGAAAGGAACACAGGGACCGTACCCTGGAGGGCAAACCTGGGGGATACCACCCGCAGTCACATGACCTTAACCTTGGTGTCTTAGCCCGTGGTTTCCATGGGGACCCCGGCAAACGAATCGTGAGCAGCATGTCCCCAGCTATACACACACACCCTGCACCCACACCCTCGTGCACACCAGCACACCCCCCCGCATGCACACACACGCACCCACCATACCCACATACACTCACACACCAAGATGTACACACCCTGAACCCACACTCCCATCCACACCAACACATACACCCCACATGCACATACCATACACCCCCACCATACCCACACGTTAACATATATACACATACTCACACTCTGCACCCACCCTCCTCATCCACACCAATATACACACCCCACATGCACCCATACATGCCCACGCACACACTCGCGCACACCATGCACACTCACGGTCACACATGTGCATGCGTGTGCACACACATACACACATCTTCAGGGCTGATGTTCCTGGGCAAGGGGAGACAGAAGCCTCGCTGGCAGGAACCCTGCAGGGAGCTCAGTAAGGACAGGGCTCAAGCCCCTGGCCTTGCACCTGAATTCTGGCTCTGACTCTGCAGGGTCACAGAAGTCGCCCCAGGAGCCCAGGGTTCAGGTCCCATCAGCCCTCAGGCTTGGGGACATCCAAGTAAAACGAGAAATTGCTCAACTCTCCCTGGGAGAGGGCGGTGCAGCTGGAGCCGGGAGGGCTCTCCGGCTGCCACCACGCCCCCTCCCCCTCCCACGCCCAACACCCGTGTTCCTCCTCCCCTGGCCCAATTCTTCCGTCTTCCTGTCCACGGAGGGGCCCCCATGTGAATGGTCATCTGTGACACTGGGGTCGCTGGAGGGCTCTGGGGAGGACACACCCAGAAACGCACCCTCATCTCCATGTGCTTACCCTCTGCCTGCCCTCCAGCGCTCCCTGCCCTCACACCACAGCTCTCCTGTTGGGAGGTCTCTGCTGACAGCAGACCCACCAGGAGCCAAACAGGCCAGAGCAGCCAGGTGGGCCCAGCATCGCCACAGCGGAAAAAGGCACCTGCAGTGGGCAAGGCCCAGCAGCCTGAGGCTCAGGCCTCCTGCCACCCCCACTGGACAGCTCAGGCTAGGCCAATCCACCCATGGGGGACCCTCCCACTCCCGGGGCACCCGGGGCCTGGAGGGCAGCCAGATGGAGCTTAGCCAGCAGCTCGGGGTCCTCGGCCTGGGCCCCACTCTTCTCAGAGGCCTCGGGGGCGTCCAGCGGGTAGGCCTCCCTGGCCCGGCTGGCCCTGGAGCAGGTGAGGAAGGCCAGGCAGGCCCCACAGAGGCGGGCCAGGTCCCTGTGGGTGGTCTCGCTGACAAAGCAGTAGAGGACAGGGTCGGCCACACAGTTCAAGCTGGTGAGGAGCAGCGAGAAGTGGTAGGCGTTGAAGATGCTCTTGGCGAAGTCGCAGCTGGCCTCCCAAAGGCTGCGCACCAGCAGCAGCACATGGTAGGGCAGGAAGCAGGCCAGGAAGATGACCACGGTGCTGAGCACCAGCCGCTGGATCTGGTCCTTGCGGCTCTTCTGGGTCCCGTGGCTGCGGCGCACGGCCCGCAGGATGCCCTGGTAGGAGAGGAGCAGCAGGCAGATGGGGAAGAGGAAACCCACCAGGAAGCGGTAGTAGTTGATGCGGCGCTGCCAGGCCTGGATGGGGTAGTGCTCAAAGCAGACGCGGTGGAGGTCCTTGTCCACCATGACCTCCTGGTGCATCAGGAAGAAGATGCTGGTCAGCAGCTCCTTGACCCAGATGGCCACGCTGATGCCCACGGCCGCCTTCAGGGTCCGGAACTGGTGGAAGCGGAAGGGGTGGGCCACGGCCAGGTAGCGGTCGATGGAGATGCAGCAGAGGAAGGCCACGCTGATGTAGATGTTCTCATAGAGCAGGATGCCGCACACCTGGCAGGACAGGTCGCTGTGCACCCAGTGGTCATGCTGGAGCACGTACTGCACCCAGAAGGGGAGCGAGCAGATGTAGAAGAGGTCGGCCACGGTCAGGTTGCACAGGTACACGCCCAGCTCATTCCGGGCCTTGATCTGCAGGTAGCCGAAGTAGAGGGACAGGCAATTGGCGGGGAAGCCCACCACCAGCACGGTGATGTAGAACACAGGGGCCAGCGTCTGGTGGATGGTGTGGTCAATGGTACAATTGGAGGAGGAGTTGTCTGCAGTGAGGTTCCCCATCTTTGGGCCGGAGAAGCCTCCCCCAATCATGGGCTCAGGGTACGAGCTAGTCTCCGTACAGCCATCTTGGTGATCCAACGTCCAACCATATTAAGGGCTGAGCACCTCGGGAGGTAGGGAAGCTCCTGAAAGTCAAATGCAGGAGAGGCTGTGAATCCTACCATGTATGCCACACCTCGTATGAGTCAAAGAGCCCTGGGCAGTGGAGTGGGTTATGGTGCTGAGCTGCTAACCACAAGGTCAGCGGATTGAGCCCACCAGCCTCTCTGAGGGAGAAAGAAGAGGCTGTTTGCCCCCATACAGATTAACGGTCTCAGGAACCATCTATGGCAGTGGTTCTCAACCTTCCTAATGCCGCAACCGTTTAATACAG